CCTCCCCCTCCCGCAGAGGGAGCAGAGGGAGGCAAGGACCAGAGGGAGGCAGAGCTCCCGTCCTGAGGGTGATGGAGGGAATGCTGGGATCTGCTCAGACCACTCTACCCCACTTTCCCCAGTGGAAGGAAGACCTCCCAGGGAGGGTCAGGGAGGAGACACTGGGGCCAGAATGACTGGGCCTCCCTGGGGACCAAAAAGACCTGGGACCCCACTGAGGGTCCCTGGTTAGAAAGGATCCCAAAAGGGTGCTGGGCCTGTGGTGGGAGCTGAGGGACTTTGACCAGCAGCTGCACTAAGGGAGGGGGGTGCAGTGCAGCCAGTTAATTAGTGGCTTATCAGGCCAAGCTCCGAGTGAGTTAATTAGCTTTGTAGAGAGAGATAATGAGTCAGTCTTCGGACCCATGAATCTGGGGAGAAGCCTAAGTGATGGACTGCCGCCCACCCTGATCTCCTCCTGGACCCTTGCATTTTCTTCTATCTCTGAGATTCCTGGAAAGGAATTCCTCCTCCTCCACAACCCCAACTCACATGGCCCCCAGCCTACCCTTTAGAAGTCCTTCCTTCAGTCTAATCCCAGTCCTTTCTGCTGTAGAGCATATTGGATGTCCCCTGCCTGAAGCAAGGGGAAACTGAGGAGAGACAAGGCTGGACGAAGGGCCACTGAAAGAGGAACAAGGCATTCCCAACCCCCCAATCCTGGGAACCCCCCAGGCCAGCCCCCAACCATTTCCCCTCCCACCCTCCCAATTGATCCCACACTCATTAACCTGCCAGTGGGCTGGCCACTAATTAATTCCTGGGTGGAGGAGGGGGGCAGGGTCAGAGGTTAAAGACGCTATGGAGGGCCCAAAGGCTAGGTGTTGCCAAGCTCAGGCCTCTGCAGAGAGGAGCCAACCTGGGGACTAAACCCTGGGGTCTCCCTTCCTCAAAACTGGTAGGTGGGGGTCCTTCCCTTACATCATCCCACTCACCCCTCTTCTGCATGAAGCTAAACAGGTCATCCAGAAATTCCTTCCTCTTGGGGTCTGCATCAAGCTCGTACAGCTGGGGAAGGACTGAGGTCATTTTTCAGCTCCACTGACTTCCCCCCCTCCCCCTGGGACCCCAACTCAGGTTAAATCCTGAATAAGGGTTCTCAGCTAAAGGGGTGAGTAGGGTCTGAAATGTGGACTCCCTGGCATTAGACTCTCTCCCCCTGGGCGCAGGGAGGGGCACTTTTTCCTAACACACACAGAGACCGGAGATCCACTGGCCAGGGGTGCCCTGGGAAGCTCAAACCATCCCTCTGGGGAATAGTGGACTAAAGGTAGCTTAGGAGGCTTAGCCTGCCCTCCAGGGCATGCAAAGATCCCCAGGAAGGAAGTCAGGCTGGGACTGTGTTCTATACTGAGGAAGCTGACAGATGTCTCTGAGGTGCTTGCTCATTCACGCTTGTTTATTCTTGCAAGGGCTTCTTGCTTTTCACATCTCTGTGTGCCATGGCTGGGGATGAGGGACTGAGATGCCTCTAACCCATTGTTCAGGCAGAGTAGATGCTCGGAATCTCTTGGATTGACACCTGGGGCCCCTCAGCCCCACTTCTGGTCTGTTTCCAGGGGCAGTGACCTACCCACTACAGAAGCTGCCACAGAGGTAATGGCCCTACACTGCCCAGGACCTGCAGGGTCAGAACTTGAAAGACCCAGAGGTCATCCCAGTCACCTGGAGCCCCATCTCCAGTATCACCTCCCAAATACCACCCAGCAGAAACAAGCCCTGGAATAACTAACAGTCATTTACCCAGAATAACAGTCCCTGAGTAATACCAATAGGTAACACTCCATTCCCCACTAAGAACTCTCAGAATTAAAAACAAACAAACAAAAAAACAGAACCCAGAGATCCACTTTAGACCTATACTCCCCAGAAGAACTAAGCCCAAAGCCTTAGATGGATCCCCAAAAATAATACATATGCTCTCCCAAGTAATAATCCCCAGAATTATACCCAAAAGAAACAGTCACTAGAGCAACAGAGCACCGAGTAACACTCCAAGTTTTACATTAATGCCACAGAGTACTAGCCGCAAATTAACACTTTTGGGAAAAGTCCCCAAGACCAACATCCTCAGAGTAATATCACCAGAACAGCACACCTGGAGTCAGAGCCCTTTATAATACATTCATAGTGACAGCCTGAAGTAGTGCCTTAGAATAACATCCAGATGGGTTCCACAGAGAGGAAGAACCTCAAATTAAAGCTCTCAGAGTAAGATCTTGTCACTCCCATCTGTACAGGAGCCCTTTAGTCACACTGCGGCTATAGTGTGGCCATCACAGGCTAGGAACTGTCACCCATAGAACTCAGGCCAGGGAGAGGATTTGGATGGGGGCAATGTGACAGGGAAGGGATGAGGGTATCAGCTTGCAAAAGGAGTGGCAACCTCCATTCTGCTTCCAGAGACAGAAATATGCAGCCCAGGAAACCCCCACTGGTTGCTGGAATATGACCTTGTGACTTGATGTGTGAGAAGGTAGGGTAAGATGGTGCTGGCACTGGAATCCCCATTCCCCAGATCCCATTCCCTGAAAAAAATTCTTGAAGCTCCTACACCCCCCCCCCCCACTTTCCCTTCTAGCCTCACCAAAAGCCTCCAGTCTGTCATGCCTCCACATTTCTAGGCGTCTCCTACACCTTTCAGTGTGTGTCTATGCACTTCTTTCCATGTCTCTGGAGGTCTCTTTCTGCTTCCCTGTCACTATCTATCTTACAGTCCTCCCACTGTCTCTCTCCAGGTCTCCGTGTCTCTGTTTTTCCATCCTGCAGAGGGCAGTGGGGGTGGATGGGCTACGAATCACCTGGCTTTGCTTTTGCCCAGAGAGGAGGAAGGGGAGGGGGCCAGACATGTAGGGGGTCCTACCTGCTTGAACTGTTCCTCGTAGGTCCATTCATGGGGATGAGGTCCAGGGGGTTGACTTGAAGGTGAGCTGGGGCCCCGGGTCCCTGGACGGCTCTCCTCGGCTGCCTCCTCCTCTGCCCCGGCTTCCTCCCCTTCCTCATCCTCTTCCGCATCCTTCTCTTCTTCAGTCCCAACCTCCCCCAAGGCCCCTTCAGGGGCCTGCAGGGTCCGAGGGCCAGGCAAGGGAGGTAGTGGTGGTGGCAATGGGCGTTGAGGGGCCAATGGCCCCACCCCTTGGGCCAGTCGGGCTGCCTGCTGCCTCTGCAGGGCCTCCATTACAGCTTCCAGGCGCAGTCCCCCCGCTGGTGGGGGGGCTGGCACCAGGCGGGGCCCCGAGGAAAGGGCCGCCTGTGGGGGTGGGAATTATGAGTGTTGGGCCCTGCTGCCCCCACAACCCCCAGCACAAGAGGAGGTGGTTACTGATTCAAGGAAGTGCAGGGGGCCATAGGAAAAAAGGCAAAAAGATAGATTTCCCAGACATTGACAGAAACAGAGGTAGAAACAACAGGAGAGACAAGAGACCAGACCCAAAGAAACAGAAATGGATATTGACAGAGGACAGGTAAAGACTGAGCAGATCAGAGAGGGTGACAAGGACCAAGAAACAGAGAGGACAGGAGAGGAGAGAGAGAGAGTGAGCAAGCGAGATCAGAAAGAGAGACAATGACAGGAGAGATACGGAAAGAGAAATGGAGATGGGACAGAGAGACAATGAGAGACAGGTGGGGACAGACAGAGATAATCAGGCAGAGATAAGAACAGAGAGACAGAGGTGGGGAGAGATGAGATTGATAGAGATATTGGGTAGATAGGGAAGGTAAGAGACAGAGAGAGGAGTAAGAGATAAATATCAAGACCTGAGTGACAGGTAGTCCAGAGAGAGAGACAGGGACAGAGATGGAGAGAGACAAACAGTGAGACAGTGGTTGAGAGAGAAAGGGAAAGACCGACGCAGCAGGAGACAGAGACTGAAGAGAGAAGAGAGATTAGAAAGAAACAAGGCGAGACAGCAAATAGAGGGAGTCAGAGACTGAGGCAGGGAAAAACAGACGGAGAGACGGGGCAGAGAACGCAGAGGGCTAGCACTGAGGGGCCGCGAGGACAGAGGGTGGCGGGGGACAGAGCCCCGGACCGGGCGGGCTGAGGACCGCTGGGTCTCGACGCCCGCTCTCTGGCTCCCCACGGCCCGCGGCCGCACTCACCAGCCTGGCGCGCCCCGGTGCCCCCGGCGTCTCCACGGCGTTCCCTCTGCTCTGCCCGCCTCTCGGGCAGCCCCTACCTCGGCTCTGCTCCCTGCGCGGGGTCCCCAGCCGTGCGCTCCCGCAGTGGTGCGCTCTTCTGGCCGCGGTGCGCTCACGCGCCGCTCTGCTGGCGGCGGCCGCGGGGGCGGGACCGGAGAGGGGCAGGGCGGGCGGGGGCGCGGGGGGAGAGGCCCCCCGGGGCTCTGCCGCTCCCAGCCCCCCAACAGGTGTTCCCCCTCCACACTGCCAGAACGGGAGGAGGGGGCGCTGGAGAGCTGCCAGGAATCGTTCGAAGGAGAGTGAGGAGTCTAACACCATTGGACTCTGGACCAGGGCCCCGCCACACCCACAAGTCGTGCCCCCCACATCCACACTCAGTGCCTGGCATTCACACACGAACAGCCGTGTTCACACACCAACACATACTGTCACAAGTTCGGGCACACAGCTGCCCTGTCTCACATACTTGGTAACATAGACACTACAGCGCCAATGGCCTGGGCAGGTTGTGATCATGAAAGGGGAATCACTCTGCAAGATACTGAGATGAATATGGAGGGTCTGCACAGAGCAAATGCTTCTCCCCCTGCCCTGCACAAGTGCTGTCCCCAACCGCAGGGAGGTTGCAGTTTGTGCAATACGTGCCCATGGTGGTGGACTCCCATGTCTGCACTCTGGCACTCAGAGGTCTCTGAACTGAGTCCACATCCATGGCAGGGTACACACATACCACATGCAGATACATAGTCACACTTTTTTCTTTTTAATCTCTTGTGACCTTCTATTATGGAAATTTTCAAACATATACACAAGAATGGTGAATAGTATTATGAACCTCTGGTACTCATACCACATTTCAACAGTGATTCGAATTTTGCACATCCTCAACCCTGTGTGTGTGACTCCAGTCTTTATCTCTAGACCCCTCAGCCAACTACTCCAGGTCCACCCTAACTCTAGTTATCCCCCAGATGCATATTTCTTATTTCTTATTTTCTTTTGCCACTGTCCTGAGTAGCAGGCCACAATTTCTTCTCTCAGCAGCCTGGACCCCATTCCTCATAGGAACCCTCATACATTCCTCAGTTGCTTCCTGTGCCCAAGGGGGTGGACCTACCAAATGAATGAACAAAACAACCCGTATCTGTCGGGGTGACACCTGGCATGAGTATGAAACTCGGCTATATCACACCCAGTACCAGGGGCCATCTCCTGACCTCATACTTAGTGAGGTGCACTGTTCCCAGGGCCAAGATTCCTCTAGGAGGCAGAAATTCAGGTGTGACTTTTGCCTACTTTCTCCTCCCCCAGTCAGTCCCCTCCTCTCAGACCCAGCTTGCCCCGGCCTGGACCACTAGCTCTTCTCACCAGATTCTTGTGGTAGGTGACACCCCTCTGCTTTTTTT